AAAAAAAGACGTTGCAGACACCCGAAGAAATCCTCAGCCAAATCCAATCGCATATATCCCAAGTTACATTTTAAGTTCTGCTCCATCTCTCAGTTTTTGCTCAAAACACAGGGTGGTTTTTTAAGAGAAAGTTTTTCTGTACAGAAAATTCACTCCAGTGATCGTGTAACTTCTCAAAAGTCAATCCCTTTTTGGAAATAATGTTCCTGTCATTTGAAGGATAAGGTTTGGCATCTCTGCTAATACAAGATAGGCATCAGTTCACTGATGTTCTGCGAACTACTTTACTTAACTTATAATCTAGGATCATGGAAAGAGGTTAAGCTCCTAGCTCTCGCAAGCTCCTTTCTCCAGAGATGATATAAACAAGGTACATGTTTTCGATAGAGGAGAGAATTTAATTTATTTGAGAACCAGCATTAACTTCGGTAATAATGTCAGCCTCGAAATTTTTTCTTGTCCAAAAAATACTTCTTTAGACTAAGCAGGCGATTGAGAAGTACTGTTCTCTCGTCACCCTACAAGTCACTTATCATGATCGTGCTGGTATATGGCATCTACAATAACAATATGCGATGAGGCAACCGCTGGGGTATTCGGGAGAAGGATTTAGAGTAGAACTAAGCACCAAGCCTTTTAGACTTTCAGCGCTCACGCTGACATATAATATTTATAGCTGAAAGCCTGAAAAGCGGTGAACGGCTAAAAATCCTTTTGTGAAGTTCCCGCTGGTGTTCCAAAGGAAAGGGGATGCCTTCTCTGCTATGGAAAGACCAAGAATAGAAGAACTTGGCTTCGCTTGCAATTTCCAATAGGCTTCAATAGCATAGAAGAGAAATGACTTGTGTGCTTTAAACTCGGCCAAAATTGCTTAGGCGATAAAAGCGCCAAACAAGAAGTGCAAATTTTTTTCGATAAGAAATTTAATATACATGGATATCTGCAGCAGGGCAATCTGGAGAACTTCCATTACGGAGGAACATGCCCCTGCAAGCACTCTGCAGTGGTACACAGACGGCTCTAAAATCCCACAATACACACATTGCGCCCCCGGTTGGGATCCATTTGCCTACGGGGAAATTTCTGAGCCTTTTACAGGCATATCTAAATCATTATTACAGGCTTCTAATCAACCAACCTAAATATAAATTGAGGACTTTCGCAGATATCCGTACAGTGCACTGCAGATTAAAGGGTAATCTACATAAACTAGGCATCTGGTCAAAAACAACTGTCGCCTTTGTGACTCAGCCTAATCCTATGAAAAAATTGTATAGGCTTAATGTGGTCAAAGGATGAGCACATACACTTCCAACCTCTAAAAAACTGTTAAAATTTCTTGACAAAGTCTTGTGAGGACCGTTAGGTCGCAGGTC